CCCCTTCCCCTAATTCCCCAGCACTGTTCCCATCCCCCAATTGCCCAATAAAAAAATCTTTAAAAAAAAAAAAAAAAAGAATCTGTCTTGTTTACCGCTCACAACAAATGACACTGAGATATTTTTGAATGGAAAAAAAGCAATTGGAAAACATGAGAATTTTAAACAAGCAAGTTCTGGGAATGTAACTATAGTGAATAATAACGTACTAAATATTTGAAAGTTGTTGAGAGTAAATCTTAAAAGTTCTCATTACAAGAAAAACAATTCCTAGCTATGTAAGATGATGGGTGTTAATTAAACTTTACTGTGGCAATAGTTTGGCAACATGTACATATATCAAATCATGTTGCACACCTTAAACTAAAACAGTGTTATATGTCAATTACATCAATAAAACTGGGAGGGGAGAATTTTAAATAAGAGAGTAATGCAACCAGAAGGAAGTGAAATGCAAGTCAGGGAAAGGAAGCAGTGATGAGGCAAATGATGGAGAGTGCAAGACGGGGCCATGGCGGTGCAGGTGAAGGGGTGAAAAGGGTACAACCGATATTTTGGAAGAACCAGGAGGACCTGGTTATTAGCTAGGTGAGTAGATGCGAGGAGAGAAAAAATTCTAGCATGATTTATACGCAGGTTATTGGTGGGTTCATATAATTACCACTTTTAACAGGATAATGGTTAATTCTGACGATATCTCCCTCTCACTCTTCTGAATATGTAAAGCAAGTAAGTAAAAGTAAATATGTAGTTTATGTTGGAACCAGGAAATAAAAGTACAAAAAGATATTACAAAACAACATTAAGGAACCAACCATAGTTACATTTCAATCCCTCTCACCACTTTCATTGGTCATCTCCTCCCTCCTCTGTTCCCTTACTCTGGTTTCTTTCCTAAAATAAAAATCTCCCTTGAGGTCATATCTACTATTAGATATCACATGACCTTGTTCTTCCTTCTTCTCATCCATAGTTCTCAAAATAGTCGTCTATGCTGTTTCAGTTTCATTTCTCAACCCACTATAATCTGAACTTGTCTCACTTGATGTTCATACAACTCTGAGAGGCAAATACTATTATTTTACAAGGAGAGGAAACTGAGGCTTAGAGAAGTTAAATAACTTGTTCAAAGTCACACTGATAAAAACAATAAAGAAATGCCTCATTCCAAAGTCTGAATCCTCATGTCCAAGGCCACAAATGACCTTCATAATGCCAGATCCAGTGTAAATCGGGAGTTTTATCTACGTGCACACAACTAATCACTTCTTCCTTCTCTGCACCCTTGGCTCCATGACACAACATTCTTCTGGTTCTCACTCAACTTCTTTGGGATCTCTTCCTCCATCTACTCTTATTATGTTGGTTTTAAGCAGGATTCAATTCTTGACAACTCTTTTCTGCCTGACCAATAAACTTTGGTATTCATCAAAGTTCTGTCTTGAGCCTTCTTCCCTGTCTATATACTGTCTCTGGGACATTTAATTCAACCTATTCTTTACTACCAAATAAGTTAAAGAATTCTCAAATCTCTCATCTCTAGTTCAAAACTTTTACTGAAGCTTCAGATTCATATAACCATTTATTAGACACATCCATATGGATGTCCCACAGATATCACAATCTCAGAATGCCCCCAAATGCTATCCCTCATATTCCCTAAACCCAACAGTTTAATACGAAACTATAAAGTTGATTCAGAAAAGTGTACACATCAAGAGTACATCTCTGTGGGTTTTCTCAAACAAACATAACCGTGTAATCAGCTTCTATTAACAGATCAAGAAATGAGACATTATTCGTTCCTCAGAAGTATTCTCTCATGCCTTCTCTTCCAGTAACAACCTCCTCCTAAGGGTAACCATTATGATACTTGTGATTACTTCACACAACCTCAGGCACTTGTGCTTATGAATGCCAATGGCAAGGTCAAGGGTTAACTTGATAAATAAAATTGGGTAGTAGAAATTCCATCTCTAAACCTAAATGCATGTTTTAGACTAGTTTGCAGATAAAAAAACTAGAGAAAGCAAAGTTTAGTTACTTAACAATTTCCTATGAAACGCAAATCAAGGCCTGTTAATACCATTCAATAGGTATATTGCTTAAAAGGGCATTTTTATCAGTGTTGGGTAAGCTAAATGAATTATATGAAATACATACTCTAATAGAGTATGTGGCTGTGAAAAGACTCACATTCCACTGAATGTAAACTTCAATAAAATCAGAAGCAGAGATATTAACATTTATTTTTTGTATTTATGCATGACTATGAAGTTATACTGTTCTTTTCTAGTGGTATATGGTGATTAATTGAAAACTCTCTAAGGTCAGTGGACTAAGCTGTTTAAACATTATTCTTATAGATAAATATTGCCTAAATCTCTAGAAAAGAAATATTAACTGCTGCCAAATCAATCTTAAACACTCACCCTTTCTGGTAGAGGGGGTTAGGTAAGATGAAACTGTTACCCATAATATCTGAGACAAAACTTCATTATATCGATTTTAAAATGTACTTAAAAACAAATCCTTTTGTTTTCATATACTGTATTTTCTTTCAATATTGTTCTATAGGCTTGAAATAACATTTTATTCTACGAACTCATTAACCATTCTTAACTCATGAAAAAAAATCTTTTTCAAATCCTAACTTTGTAAGAAACATTTCAGATTATACTAGCTTCATACTAAACCTCTCAAAGTCTAAAATACTTACACATGCCCTTTCTGTTCAAAAAAGGTACATTTCCGTGGTAGAAGATAAGTTGATTCTAAAACTTGAAATTATGACTACTTGCCAGTTCTGAGTCAACTATAAATAATATTTAAAAACTAAGGTTACTTAAATAGAACATTAATTCTTAGAAACAATGAAGTCGTATCAGTTTACTTTGAGCTCTAAAAATGGTATATAGGTGATACCACAAAGGGGAACCAAAATTAGGTTGGTATTGATAATAATTCTTACATGGGTGAGGCAGGCTTCGTTAGGAGGCTACCTGTTAAAAATACAGATTCCTAATGAAAACACATCAGACAAACCCAAATTGAGAGCCATTCTACAAAAT